CAAATAAGCTGTTCATAAAGTGGCCAAATAAGCTGTTCATAAAGTGGCCACACAAGTCGCTCATAAAGTGGCCACACAAGCTGCTCATAAAGTGGCCAAATAAGCTGCTCATAAAGTGGCCACACAAGCCGCTCATAAAGTGACCACACAAGCTGCTCATAAAGTGGCCACACAAGCTGCTCATAAAGTGGCCAAATAAGCTGCTCATAAAGTGGCCACACAAGCTGCTCATAAAGTGGCCAAATAAGCTGCTCATAAAGTGGCCAAATAAGCTGCTCATAAAGTGGCCACACAAGTTGCTCATAAAGTGGCCAAATAAGCTGCTGATAAAGTGGCCAAATAAGCTGCTCATAAAGTGGCCACACAAGCTGCTCATAAAGTGGCCAAATAAGCTGTTCATAAAGTGGCCAAATAAGCTGCTCATAAAGTGGCCACACAAGTCGCTCATAAAGTGGCCACACAAGCTGCTCATAAAGTGGCCACACACGCTGCTCATAAGGTGGCCACACAAGCCGCTCATAAAGTGGCCACACAAGCTGCTCATAAAGTGGCCACACACGCTGCTCATAAAGTGGCCACACAAGTCGCTCATAAATTGGCCACACAAGCTGCTCATAAAGTGGCCACACAAGCTGCTCATAAAGTGGCCACACAAGCTGCTCATAAAGTGGCCACACAAGCCGCTCATAAAGTGGCCACACAAGCTGCTCATAAAGTGGCCAAATAAGCTGCTCATAAAGAAGCCACACAAGCTGCTCATAAAGTGGCCAAATAAGCTCCTCATAAAGTGGCCATACAAGCTGCTCATAAAGTGGCCACACAAGCTGCTCATAAAGTGGCCACACAAGCTGCTCATAAAGTGGCCAAATAAGCTGCTCATAAAGTGGCCATACAAGCTGCTCATAAAGTGGCCAAATAAGCTGCTCATAAAGTGGCCAAATAAGCTGCTCATAAAGTAGCCAAATAAGCTGCTGATAAAGTGGCCACACAAGCTGCTGATAAAGTGGCCACATAACCTGCTCATAAAGTGGCCACATAACCTGCTCATAAAGTGGCCACATAACCTGCTCATAAAGTGGCCACATAACCTGTTCATAAAGTGGCCACATAACCTGCTCATAAAGTGGCCACATAACCTGCTCATAAAGTGGCCACATAACCTGCTCATAAAGTGGCCACATAACCTGCTCATAAAGTGGCCACATAACCTGCTCATAAAGTGGCCTCGTAAGCTACTACTTGTGGTGAGAATAATTTGAAGTCCTACGAGCGTGACAGAAATGTGTAATACTTATTCGCATTTCGTCATCACTACTGAGATAAAGTTTTCGAGACGCTGTGGAGGGAGGAACGATGTTCTGAGGTCGCTCCCACATGGCCCTTGAAATCACACCCACATGGTCCTCTGATTTCACCACCAAATGGTCCTCTGAGGTCACTAGCACATGGACCTCTGAGGTCACCACCACATGGTTCTTTGAGGTCATCACCACATGGTCTTCTGAGGTCACCATCACATGGTCTTCTGAGGTCACCACCACATGGTCCTCTGAGGTCACCACCACCTGGTCTTCTGAGGTCACCACCACATGGTCCTCTGAGGTAACCACCACCTGGTCTTCTGAGGTCACCACCACATAGTCTTCTGAGGTCACCACCACATGAACCTCTGAGGTCACCAGCACATAGTTCTCTAAGGTGGAGAAAATTGGATCATAGGTAACAAATGGTGTAATACACACAGCTGCATAGAGAGACCTAACAGAGATGCTTCACCCTGGGAGAGGCTCCTTCTTCAGTGAGTACAAAGGGATACACATCAAGCAGACATATTCAGTGAGGTCATTGTGTGAGGTGAAGTGCAGAATGGAAGCACCGCAAGAGGCCTGCCAAGGTCTTCCGATGATCTCTTTGTGTAAGATGAGCTGCGCTACAGGTTTGTTTACCTGAAGTTTACCTGGATATGGTTTCGGGGGTCAACGCCCCCGCTGCCCGGTCTGAGACCAGGCTTCGTGGTGGACCAGAGTCTGAACAACCAGGCTGTTATTGCTGGCCGCACGTAAACCTATGTACGAAGCACAGTCCGGCTGATCCAGTATTAACTTTAGGTGCCTGTCAAGCGCCTTCTTGAAGACAGCCGGGGGTCTATTTGTAATTCCCCTTATCTATACTGGGAGGCAGTTGAATAGTCTTGGGTCCCTGACACTTACTGTGTTGTTTCTCAGTGTACTCGTAGCACCACTGCTTTTCATTGAGGAAATGTTGCATCTCCTGCCGAGTCTTTTGCCTTCGTAGGGAGTGATTTATGTGTACAAGTTTGGTACTAATCCCTCTAGGATTTTCCAAGTGTATAATATCATGTATCTTTCTCGCCTGTGTTCGCCTGCTGCAGTGTTCCTTCTTTCTTATGTTCTTAAATCAAGGGATTTCAACCGTCCCCAGTAATTTAGGTACTTTATCATACTTATTATGTCTTGAAATTTCTCTGTACATACTCCAGGTCAGCAATTTCGCCTGCCTGCCTTGAAGGGGGCAGTTAGTATACAGCAGTATTCCATCCTAGAGAGAACAAACAATTTAAAAAGAATCATCATGGGCTTTGCGACCCTAGTTTTGAAGGTTCTCATTATCCATCCTATCATTGTTCTAGCAGATGAGGTATATACATTGTTGTGGTCTTTGAAAGTGAGATCCTCTGACATTATCACTCCCAGATCTTTCACATTAGATTTACATTCTACTGCGTGGTTAGAATTTGTTTTATACTCTAATAAAGAATTAATTCCCACAAGGTTTCCATATCTGAGTAGCTGAAAATTCTCTTCATTGAACTTCATATTGTTCTGAGTGGCCCATTTAAAGGTTTGGTTGATGTCCGCTTGGAGTCTTGCAGTGCCTTCGATGGAGGTCACTGTCATTGCAATTCGAGTGTCATCCGCAAAGAAAGACACGGAGCAATGGCTTACATCTCTGTCTATGTCAGATATGAGGATAAGGAACAGGATGGGAGCGAGTACTGTGCCTTGTGGTACAGCGTTTTTCATTGTAACTGCCCCAGACTTTACTCCGTTTACTATTACATTTTGTGTTCTATTTGTTAGTAAGTTATAGATCTATCTACCAACTTTTCCTGTTATTCCTTTATCACGTATTTTGTGTGCTATTACACTATGATCACACTCGTCGAAGGCTTTTGCAAAGTCTGTGTATACTACATCTGCATTTTGTTTATCCTCTACAGCACCCAGGACCTTGTCATAGTTGTCCAGTAGCTGCGACAGACAGGAGCGACCTGCTCTAAACCCGTGTTGCCCTGGGTTTTGTAATTGATGGGTATCTAGGTGGTTGGCTATCTTACTTCTTAGAACCCTTTCAAAGATTTTTATGATATGGGATGATAGCGCTATCAGTCTGTAGTTCTTTGCAATTCCTTTACTGCCACCTTTGAAGAGTGGGGCTATGTCTGTTGTTTTTAGTGTGCGTGGGATGACTCCTGTCTCCAGGCTCCCTCTCGATAGAATGCTGAACGCACGTGACAAGGGCTTCTTGCAGTTCCTGACGAACACGGAGTTCGAGTCCGGGCCTGGGGCAGAGTGCATGGGCATTTCATTAATTGCCTTTTCGAAGTCTTGTGGTGTTGGGATAATATCAGAGATTTTTGAAGTGACCAAATTTTGAGTCTCAGTCTCAGTGGGGGTGACCACTGGCTGGAGTGGACTGTGTCTCGTCGATTCCATATGCCGCCAAAGTGATCCATTGGATTTAGCATTAATAATTTAAGGGACGGGGGAGATGAAGACTGTGCCTGTGCTCCACACTGCTGCAAACATTCCCTTACATTTATTGCTGTTAAAGTGCTTGCAACGGAGTTTCATTTATTAAGTCTCATGTAGTTTTATCTCTTTGTACGAAACAGTGGAATTAAACTTCGTGGCCAAGAAGTTCAGCATATATGTGGAAAAAGTGTTTTTTCTTGCAGTTGTGTATGTGTATGTGTGTGTGTGTGTGTGTGTATGTGTGTGTGTGTGTGTGTGTGTGTGTGTGTGGTGTGTGTGTGTGTGTGTGTGTGTGTGTGTGTGTGTGTGTGTGTGTGTGCGCGTGTTACACCCTTTTGTTCATTTTAAGTAGACTGTTTCTTCTTGTTATTATCACAATGGTATACTTTTACATGTTATTTTTGCTATTTCACTTAATATTATATTCAGGAGTAATTCCATTAGTAGCTAAAATGGATTTACTCGACTTTATAATATTATCTGGTCGTATTACTTAGCTTTGTATTTAGGTAGGTCGTTTAATTAGTGTCAACTGCTGGTGACCTGGCCAAGCACCAGTAGGTGTTTTGAGCTGCTCAACCCCTGCTCCGACCGAGACAAAGTGGGCTGGTAAAGCCTCACAGAGTTCAGTTCATACCTTCCTCCGGACCAGGAAGGGTCGAGGGAAGTATCCACCTCTAAACCACCATTCGCCTCCCTAGAAAATCCCAGGAATTTTCGGGAACTTACTGCTAAGACTTATCTCGGTTGGAGAAGGCGGTTGAGAAGCTCTTAGAGAAAGTGAAGCCAAGTGAGCAAGCCTCTGTAGTGTATAAGGACTTATTGTAAAGTGAACCCTACCATAAGAAATCTATTAATGTGTTCGAGTTTTTAGGCAACGCCTGTGCATGTGCATATACTAATATTTCGTGACTCACTCAGAGCCATTTGTAAATACTTGACCTAGTACTGTGTTGTTTTAATGAGGAATGGTAAAAGTATTCTACTCATAGTGCAAAATATGAGAAGGTGAATTTAAGTGATTATTATGATTATTAATAAATTAAATAGAAACTAAGAAAAATTCCTTTTCCTCTGAAGTGAGTACCTAGACGTACTAAGTTTATTTTGTTACGAAAAGCACTATAACCCAGGGACCAACTGACTATGTTCGTAACAGCGCGCGCCTGAACATGCTCTCTCACAACAGGTACCCAGCAACAGTAACAACGGGAGTGATCTTACCTGGCCACCAACTCGCCCTTCTAAGAGTCTGGGTATATCAGTATGGGACCAGTTGCTGACAGACCAGGGCTCCACCGTCTTCAAGCTCTCGTTCAGCTTCAGCTTTTCCAGCTGGTTGTGTATAAAGCTTCGTATGTTCCACGGTAAGTCATTGTGCCTACGGAGGAAAGATATACACCTTTATTATTATTAAAAATATTATTATACTGTATTTACAATTATTAATATTATTACTACAACTACTACTACCACTGCTGCTGCTACTACTACTACTATTTTTTTTAACACGCTGACAGTCTCCCACCGAGACAGGGTGACCCGAAAAAGTAACATTTTCACCTTCATTCACACTGTCACTGTCTTGCCAGAGGCACGCTGATACGACAATTTGGAAGTCACTCATAACAGCAGATATCCCAAACTTCTGGTTTAGAGCGCAGGCACTGTACTCCACCCCTTCAGGACTCAAGTCTGGTTTCCCTGAATCGCTTCATAGAATATTACCCGTCTCACACTCTAACAGCTCCTCAGTTCCCAAAAATCATTTGTCTCCACTCCTGTCTAACACGCTCACACATGCCTGCTCTATGTCCAAGCCCTTTACACACAAAGGCTTTACACCCTCCTTCCATCTTTCCCTAAGATGACCCTACCCCTTCTTCCCCCCACTACAGATTTATACATCATTCAAGTCATCCTATTTTGCTCCATCCTCTGCCAATGACAGAGGATAATATTTAAGCCACACATTGTCTTTAGACACGACATCTCTATTGCGTCCAGCCTCCTTATTGCTGCAACATTCACAGCACATGCTTTACACCCATGTAAGAATGTTGGTATCACTATATTCTCATGCTTTCTCTTCTTCGCTTCCATGGATAACGTTTTTTGCCTCCACAGATACCTCGACGCACCACTCACCTTTTTCCCTTCATCAATCCTATGGTTTACGTCGTCTTTCATATACCCAACCGCCGACAAGTACACTCCCAAATATCTAAACGCATTCACTTCTTCCACACTCCCTCCAATCTGACATCAAATTTTTCCTTACTAAACTCTTTTGATAGTCTTATCACCTTACTCTTATCTACGTTATTGCAATTATAATTATTATTATTATTATTGTTATAAGAATGAATAAACCAGTAAGAGTCATACACCGTCTAAAAATGTATGGTAATATTTTTGATTCAAGAAAGGGAAGCTAGCTCCAGTTCCATTAATCAAGAGCTCTTCTCCAGAGTCAGTGCTTCACTTGCTCCCACTTGATGATGACGTTTTTCACATGGTTGTAGAGGTAGGTCTTTCGACTCACAATTAAAGAACCCAGGTTCGATTCCCTGTCGAGTTGAAACGATGGGCATGTTTCTTTACATCTGCTGCCCCTGTTCACCTAGCAGTAGGTAGGTACCTGGATCTGCCCTTGTTCACGTAGCAGTAGGTAGGTACCTGGGTCTACCCTGTTCACCTAGCAGTAGGTAGGTACCTGGGTCTTAGCCGACTGTCGCTTCTTGGGGAAGAGGTTCAAACAATTTCCAATAGAAATAAGTCGCTCTGGTTACCTTTTATGGTTTTCCTAGGTTAATAACCTTACAAAAATAATATTTATCTTCATTATCTTCTTCTAAAAGAGGTGAAGGAATATCATTTAATTATTAACAATGATGGATGAGTTATGGACTCAGGAAGCAAGAGTTCCCTGATAACCCCATCAGTGTTTTCTCGAAAAAGAAGAGAGACATCAACCATTTTATGAATCCTCTCAAAGTTCAGGGACCAGGAGATTATTGTAGAAATACTCTAAGAAAGTCTGTAAATTCAAAGAAAAGATAGCGCCAGTGTTTTATTCTCCAGGACAACACGATAATGTTTCCTGACGCGGGACTTAGTCAAATAATGATCAGGTAACTGGCCAAGCATCTGCTGTCATGCAGGTAATTGGTTTTCATCCCTTTATCAGAGCAGCTTCCTAAGATGAGGTACTCTTGTTACCCTGTTATTTGATTGGTTTTACTGGGTTTAAAGCCTGTCGACCAAACAAGAGCATTAAGACCTGCGTATCACCTATACACCACCTTACCTGGAAAGTTTAATCCCTAAGATAGGGATTCAAGAAAATTCTCAGCTTATGTACACACTGAGAGATACACACTATTCGGTGTGCATACACCGATGAATATACACTTCTCGGTATACGTACACCGAGAGATATACACCTCTGGGTGTATATCCGATGTACATATACAGAGAGACGCACACTTCTCGATATACACACACTGAGAGGTACACACCTCACAGAGTACATAGACTGAGAAATACGCACACCTCTAAGATGTATACTGTATACCCGTCGCCTCTCGGTAATACCTCTCGGTCCCTTGCAGTTACTTAAATTTCAAGAAGGCCATCACGTACATTTCCTGAGAGAGAGACTAAAGCATACGTAAGGGCCACTTAGGACTGTACTAAACGTAACGAGTGGAACATTTTCTCTCAATTTAATATCCAGTTTAATAACAGTGGCTGCACGTTATTCCATAATTTTCGGAGTTTTTTTTTTCTTTCTGGCCAAATTTGCCGTCATATCGCCCGCCTGGATGAATAATTTGCAAAATTATGGTAAAGACAAGTCATAAGAAGTAATTATCTTAAATTGGACTCGTGTATCAAGCCTGGCGCTGGAGACATTTCCAGCCTCTCTGCCCACTCTCTTGCCTCCCTGCCTGCCCCTCTCAACCTTCTTGCCCTTGCTATGCACCTTCTCTTTGCCCTCGCACGCTTTCTGCATGCACTACTCAGTACAAACATTGTATCATGATGAAATAAAATTATTATTATTATTATGATTATTATTATTATTATTTCTATTCTTAGCGTCTCTTCTTAAGTCCCTCTCACATTTCCTTTCCCCCTTTCTTGCTCATTTTATATATTTTCTACCTTCTCTTCCCCTTTCACGTCTTCACTACTTTTTCTTGCTACTGTCAGTCCTGTTTTATCTTTCCTTGTCATTTTCACACTTCTTGTCCCTCTGACACATTTTCTCTTGCTTTATTTTCCATTTATTTTCCATTTTCTCATTTACATGCCTCTTCGTCTGCTCATTTACATGCCTCTTCTCGTGCTCTATATTTCCATATCCTTATTCTTTGTCATTCTGTGACCCTTCTTTCTATGTGTCTTATTTGCCTCTTCTCTTACCCCTTTCAATGCCACTTCTCATGCCTCACTTCCATTTCCTTCTTGAATCCTTTTTCTACACCCATTTTCATGCTCACCTTCCAGTCTTTCTTGCCTTTTCTCCTGCCCATTTTCATGCCCTATTTATTGTCACAAGCGCTACTTTTTTCCACGCCATTCCTTTGCTCCTCTTTTGGGGGCCCCTCACTTGCCTCTGTTTTTGTGTCTACTTTTGCCTCCGTTATTGGCCCTCTTCTTAATTTATTTACTACACGTACAAGGTATACAGGCCTAGCTGACATCAATGTCATACTACTATATAGAAAGCCGCTTGTTAAGCTGAGCATTTCGGGCAAATTAGGTCACTTTTGTCACAGGATGCGACCCACACCAGTCGACTAACACCCAGGTGCCCATTTTATACTGATGGGTGAACATGGACGGAAGGTGTCTTACGGAAACATATCCCTAATATTTTTCAGCCGTACCGGAGGAGATTCGAACTCCGAACTCAGTGTGTGAGCTGAGTGCGCTAGCGATGGAGCTACGAGACACCATGCTGTTGGCTTTGCTGATGACTCTGTTCTTGCCTCTGCTTCTTTCCTTAGGATGAAGAAACAACTAGTTGAGATCTCACGTCAATAATGTAAAGTGTGGAAAAAAAATACTGATAACCTATATGATCATGTTAACTACATGTAAATTACAGAACGGGGGGAGTTTGAAGTGAGTTCTAAAACTCACAGGCCATGGGTTCAAGTCCCACCCGTTCCCTGATTTGTTTGCAGTCGTGTTATTATGATTTCGTGAATTATGTTAACTATTTGTAATTGCTGATAGAAGGGAAGATGGGAAAATCGACTTTGTTAAAAATGGCCATCGTTGTTCAGGTATTTGTGCCCTAAACTGAAGACTCACAGGTAAGACCCACAAGGGGTGAGGGGGAAGTGAGGACGGACGAAGAATAACTCTGGAGAGGAATGTCTTGAGTTGTAGGAAAAGAAAGCAAGGGCTAAACCCAGCTGCATAACATTGTAATGTTGAAGCATTCTCAGACGATATGAGGAGAGAACGTTGATGAAGATGGAGTCTCCGCCTCGTGGATGCCATGAGATGCGCAAGGTACTGGAGGTGGTATTGCTGAGCGCTTTAGCAAAATTTTACAAGGTAGCAAATAGAAGCATTTTGCTGTGATATCTTCCTTAGTACAACGTTCCATTTGTGGGTTTTATCAAGCACGTTGTACCAACAAAGACTTCACTGCGTCGTCTGTTTACCACATGTCAGCGTTATGCTTTTATTATATTTGGAAAATTATTCAGGTTGAGCCCAGTGATGATGTCATTCCTGATCACCTGGATGTGGTGTTCTTCAGGCTTTGCACAAATCCTAGTAGCTCCATACTGGCGTGTGCAACATGCACGCTTAAACATGTTGTTGGTGACCTCAACAATCCTCTTCTATAGAGAGAATATGATGAGTTCACAACAGTGTTTATATTACATTACTAATACATAGCTTCGGCTAGTCTCAGCTCGGGGGCAGTGAACATGCAATGATCACCGCTTGCATACTTCAGCTCATCTGATTACAAGGATGGCTTTGCAACACTAGCCATGCCACGAGAAGGAGATATAGGAACATTTCGCGTATCCTGGCTGTGGCTGAAACGAAACTACCTAAAGCTTCTCTTTCAACTGCTGATACTGACTGGAACACATTGCTACAAGATGATGCTAACAAACAAGTAAACTCCATCACCGATCTCATCCTGAACCTCCAGCACATAGTCAGTCTTCATCTTTAATATGTAACAAAGTATAATGTGGCTGTTGCTGTCAACATGACTCACGAAATCGTAATGACACGATTGCAAACAAAACGCGACGGTCTGGAGTTTTGAGACTCTGACCGCGGGTTCAATCCCGGCCGGGGTATGGTTTGGCTGTTGCTTCCTGTCGCTGAATGGAG